AGTGATGGACACAGGACCCCACAAAAATGGGGAAATTGCAATTTTTAAAACCACTGTTGTTTTTTAACTGATGGAGCACCTGTCTAGAAATGTCTGGTTCTCCAGGGCAGCTCTTCTGCTGGATATTGATCATAGAATCATGCTGTATTTTTTTGGCTCATATCTCTGATTCGAATATTCTTGAGGACAAATGGACACTCAAAGTGCCGTCTCTGTCTTGGAGAAGCTAACGTGGTTGTTCCTTGTGCCCACTGTAGAGCCTTTACACGTCAGGTGAGGCAAAACAGAGATTTGTGACTCATACATCCAATGTCTAGTTTTTTTTAAAAAAAAAATAGCAGCTTACAAAGAGAAGTGGATTTTCAGTGATGCAAGGACCCTTAATGTGTAGCTGATGATATTGGATAATTTCATTTGTTATACTGACTGTGGCTATTGAGCAACATCAGCAATCGAAAATCACCTGGAGCATCACATTCTTCAGCAAGAGCTTAGAACTTATGATGGCATAGATTACTAGATTCAGGGCACATCATTGTTTTATAAGGTGATAACATATTATTAGAGATTAGACTGTTTCCTCACAACCATATTTTGAGTGGGAAGACTAGAGGTGCCATGGGGTATTCCCTCATGAGATAGATAGCTACATAGTGCCGTGCCTAATTGAAATTGTTTACTTCTTTCAGAGTTTTCACAAGAGTTGTTTAATCTCTGATCATTAAAATAATGTCTAGATGTATGAATAAGGCTTAGCTCCTGTCATTTAAGTGAGAAGGAATACAAAACCAAAAACAGATTGTTGCCAGAATCATAGGGATCTTGCCTGTTAGCTGAATATGTGATCACATGAGTACGCTTCACATGGAAACTTGGAAACAAGAAGGCCAGAGTTCTGCCTGTTCTTCCATTCCAAGCACAGTATCTTAATTTCATATAATAAACCACTGCTTTCCATTCATTTGGAGCCAGTTGTTGGTTGCTTCTCTAATTATTTTTACAACTAAGAGTTAACCTTTAGTGTGTTGGGCACTTGATAAACCTTGTAGGCTATTTGTTCACAAGCATGATTTTTTGTTACATGGTACCACAGGAGCAGTACTTAGCAGTTGAGCATTGTGAACCTATTTGTTTATTATGTTTCTGTGGATACAGATAAATCTGAGCTAAAATATATTGATCTTCACCTTCTTGGGCCTAAACACTCTGAAGGCACCAGATCCTGTTTGATGTTGGAAGCTAATCAGATCAAGCCTGTTGAGTCCTCGGAAGGAAATACCTAGTTCTGAAGGTTGTATTTCAGAGGGTATTGGCAAACAATCTCTTTTAAGTTTTTCTTGGCAAAAAAAACCTCCTGAAATTCAGGAAGTAGCCATAAGTATACAGGTGGTACATACACACACACATTGTACTTCCTTATGTTTATCACATAGAGATGAGCACCATCTGTAGTAGCTTACTTTGGAAATTTTCTGCAAGAAGTTATGTCTAAATTAGCATATCTATTGGCCATGAAATTAAAACCAAGTGTACCACTTAATGTAAGTTTAATTATATTGTCAATAATAACTTTTGACAAACTCTTGAAAAAAAATATCTTTGCTTTCTTACAAATTTCTCATTGATTTTAGTGTATTTTATTTCATAAGCTTTGGGCACATTCCCTTTACTAGATTTATATACATCTATTTGCATATCAAAGAAAAAAATCAGAAAATGTTTCCATTTTCTCTAAATACATTTGAATAAGAATCTTAGAACTATGATGGTTAAAAGGAACCAGATTAATGTAACTGTTCAATGATCCGTGCCTTTAGCCCTATATTTCAGATGGGAAATTGCTTCTTTCAGGCTCTTGTCATTTGTCTTCAAGATACATAACTTTCTTCTAAATATTCAGTCTGTGATATCCGTATATGTATATTTCTTGTGGACTTTCCACAAATTTAGAACTCATTCGTTTTATCAGAGTCATTTTGAACATCTTTCAAAGGCGATGGAAGGTATTTGGGCAACCTTTTAATGGCCAGGAACAAGCAGGTATATGTTAGTCCTTTTTGATAGGGTGAGTTATTAATCAAATATGTAAGTGTGCATCATACTGACTACCACTCAGAAAGGATCCATGTAGTGCAAGTAAATCCCAGTAGTGTATGACAGCCACAGATTGTGAGACAAAGCAGAAAAAGAAAAAACACACACCAGGTCATTTCTCAGTTGATATCTCAGTAAAACTAGCTAGCTAGCTTGCTCTGGGTATGGTTTATGGAAGCAGGATTTGCAACTTAGATGTTTAATGTTCAGAAAAAGAATAAATAGTGGTGGATTTAATGTGTGTGTGTTTAGAATGTGACAGACATTGAAATTATCTTGGCTCTTCATGCTGAAGCCCAGACAATCTCCACATGCAAAATTCTTCATATAATACAGTTGGCTCTCAGTATTTTGTATCCATTGATTCCATTGTCCAGGGCTTGAAAATATTTTTTTAATCAAAATCTCCCCATTTTGCAGCATTTTACTAGGTTATTTATAGTCGGACTTAAGCATCTACAGATGTTGTTACCCATGGGGGATCCTGGAACTAAACACCGGTAGATACTGAGGGCTCATTGTATTTGTTGGCTCTTTAATCATCCTTTGTATTATTAAAGGTGACAAATGCGAAGAATTATCTATATAAATAAAAATGTAATGTTTGTTTGTGGGATTAACATAACTCTAAAACCACTGGATGAATTGACACCAAATTTGGACACAATACACCTATCAGGCCAATGAGTGACCATCACTCATAAACACCTCCCAAAAAACAGCGGAAAGGACTTAAAAACCCCCAAAAGCTAAACGACAATGCAGTGCATGCGCAAAAACAACAGCCCCCAGCATCCCCTAGACCAGGCCCTTTAGGTGAGGAAGATGCTCCAAATGCACTGCTTCCAAGCTTGCTTCTCCTTGGATTTCTTTGAGAGCATCCCAATTCCTGCATGTTTGCAATTTCCTATTCCTGGACTGCAACTCCCAGCAAGATAAGATAGATAGATTAGATAGAGATAGATAGGTAGGTAGGTAGATAGATTGATCAGGAGGACTGCTGAGAGTTGCACTCCAAGAATAGTAGATAAGGAAGAAAGGAGAGAAAGGGGAGGGGAAAGAAAAGAGGGGGAAGGAAGGAAGAAAAGGAGAAAAAGAGGGAGGGAAGGCTGGCCACGGCGAATTGATACCAAATTTCGACACAATACACCTGTCAGGCCAACAAGTGACCATCACTCACAAAAACACTGAAAAACACAGCAGAAGGGACTTTAAAATCCAAAAAATAAGAAAATGCATTACAACGCATGTGCAAAACCACATTTACACATATATACACACACAAAACACATATACACAGACTGGGCCACAGCAATGCATGACAGGGGATGGCTAGTAGTCTAATAATATCTGGAAAGTTCAAAGTTTCTTTTATATGTGCTAGGTCTTTAACATTGATAAAAATGTACATTTCAAAAGTTGCAGGATATATAGTATGTTATTTTTGAAACAATCAGGAAACAGGAATTTTGATCTAAAACAAATTACAAGTCCCAACTAGCACAGGGGGATTTACATGAGCATCAGTTTACCATTTTATCATAGATTCAGTTGTTTTCCTATAATTGGGATTAGAAATTGAAACTATACCTTTGCTTGCAGTAAAGGTTTTTGTTCATATACTATTTAAGATACCTTTTGAGGATAGCGGGCAAAATATTTTGGTACAGTCATAACATATTTAATTCAGTAAAGAATGCATCCATATTTTAAACAGTCATTACATAGCATGTGTTTACAAAAATAGCAACATGAATCAGTAGAATAAAATCTATTTTTTAAAGCAATTGGATTTCAGAATTAAATAAATAAATTTTAAAAGTTTTATGTTGGTTTTAAAAGGTGGCTGTTGATGCACAGTTTTTACAATGCGGACATAGCCCAATGTTATTCACACATCAGTTTCTGTATCCTGTGACTGGTTTGTTCCATTGCAGTGGCTTTATTTCTTGTGGTGAGGAAGCTGCTTTGTTTCTTCATTACTAAAAAGTCACAGATGTGTGAAAAGTAGGCCACAGGTCGAAGGCTGCATGCCCTCTGCGTGTATAAATTGAAAGTGACAGATACCTCTATGCTCCACCAGTAATTTCCCTCCATGATAAATGCCTATGAAGCAGTAATTAAAATAAAAAGTTCTTCGCTTTTGCCAAAAGACAGATTGAGTTATTTATGGTAGAAGCAACCACCAATAGTAATTGCAGCACATCCTTGAACAAATACATTTTTTTTCATTCAAGAATAGCGCCAGGCTGACAGAGGTCAAGGGGGTCAAGCCCACTCAAACAAGAGGCCAAAGAAAGGCAAAATCAGTGTTCTGTTCATCTTAACACAAATTTGTATTGTCTGTATTACCTACTTAGGTGTCCAAATTACTCTGTATTCCTTGGAGCCCTAGTTGAACTTTATTCATTTTTGCAGAAAGTTAATTGAAAGATTACTGCAGCTGTTATACTTAAATATATGTGTTTAATTATTTTATTCCTGAAAAGCAGTTTAAGATGGTAAAGTAATTTAACTGTCTTGTCTTTAGTGCAGTTAAGTAACTATTTTAAAATATTATTCTTAGGGAGTCCTGCACAGAGTGGTGTTCTTCCACTTTTGTTCACTGTATAAATCTATTCCGCTAATATGATGTTGGTATGTTGGAATGGGATGATGGGTAGTCTGTTACTAGTTCTGGTTTCAGATGTGTTTAATAAACCTTGAATTTTAAATTTGAGCAGCATCCATCTGAGTAATGAGTTGTAAAGGGATTAAAATGCAAAGTGGAGAAGTTCCATTATCCATTATCCATGTTTATGTAAATACATTTGTTATTTTAAGATCTTATACTGACTTGAAATATTTTCCTCTTTTTTGGAATTTTGCAGTTGGATCTTATTATCTGTTTTGTTCATTTTTTTCAGAAAACAAGGTGGAATAATTAAATCATTGATTTAACTGACCACTAAATCTTCTATCAAATTTCGCCAAAAAAAAAAAAACCATCTTAAAAGTTGTCAAGAAACAAGGCAATTTGCCAAAGTTGACAGGAAGCAGGAAGGATTTAAATGTGAACAATGATTTGTCTAAAGGTTTACGTCAGATTGCTGGGGTTTTGTGCATTCATCATTTTTCAAGTTCAAGGTAAAAAAAAACCCACACTTCTTAAATATTTCAGAAATGTTTTTCATATATGAAATGTTTGCATATAAGCCAATGTTATGTTCAAACTGCAGTTTGAAATAGGTGCTGGTAAGATGATTTAACTTTTGAAAAACATTTGAAACCTAGAATCTCAAAACGCTGTTCAGGGACATATAATGCAAGTTGTTGAAAAGGAGAGCTCTTCTATGAACCTGAAAAGTGACTTGTATACTTTTTGGGAATTTTATAGCCAGCACTGAATTTTTGAAACCAGTTCAGATTTTAATAGGGAGTCTCATGAAATGATAGTGTCTGAACAATTGGAGTGGATTTTATGCATCTCTTTGAATTGTAACCATTACCAACAGGATCTTCTGCCAGCCTCCCTTAGCACAATACGTTCTGTTCAAAGGCAGTATATAAGAAATGATAGTTCAGAATGGGAAAGTTTTGAATTGGTCTCACAAGTGAATTTTGGACTTATTCACATGCATCCTGTTTTAACAAATCTGCAATGATAATATGTGGGATAATTTTATGAGTAAAAGTAAGAATGGATCTGTAAATCAGTTGGAAAAAAATGAAGTGGTCCAATCTTTTATGTACTATTTGGCAAAGTTTCAGTTGCTCAATTAGCTCGTATTGAAATTACTACAATTATCCTTCCACGTTTGTAGATTCTTTGCGAACTTGATTATTTGCAGATTCTTTGCTGCCTCCTCCACTGCTACCTTATCCCATGTTTAATGGGGACTTCATTAACACTGTTGTCTTCCTTGAGCTAATTCTTTTTTTCCAGAAAAGAATAAAGTTTGGATATAAAATACTAGGATCTAGGATAATTTAAATGTCTGTAATTAAATTTCTTCTAATTTAAAACAGTATATTTGTTTCCAAGCCAATCCTTCCTTCTGGTCTCTGTGCACATCCCATGCATTTATCTGCACTCAGTTGAAACTAAGGCCCTTTCAACACTGCCCTATATCCCATGATCTGATCCCAGATTATCTGCTTTAAACTGGATTATACGAGTCTCCACTGCCAGATAATCTAGGATAAGGAGATCTGGGATCAGATCCTGGGATATAGGGGCAGTGTAGAAGTGGCCCTAGATTGCAAAGATTTTGTTAGTACATCTGCCCTCTTATGAGCATACCTTCTTTGATCTGCTTCATTCACTTCAGTAGTAATAACCTTTCATAGAACTTCTTGAACATTTCAGAGATATGGTTTTATTCTTTATCTTTTATCTGTTTTTTTTCCTTTTAAAGATTTTTCATTTGCTCAGTATTGCAGATACGTCATTTTGAGCCCATAGATTTTTCCCCATTATCACTTAAACTCTATCAATCCTTCTTCTTGAGTCTGCTCCTTTTTCTTCTTGGCAGCAGGAGTGTCCTGGCAAACCTACTCTCCTTTTGAGATTTCAGCTAAAAAAGGAGGACAAAATAGGACAAAAGCCATACCTTTCTTGACTTTGAAAATTCTATTCTTCTAGGCAGTAGTAAAGATTTACATGGGTTAAAATGGCTTCCTTAATGGAGCATTTTCTTTCTGATAAGGAAGGTGGAGATCTCTTGTTGTTTCACAAAGACTGGGTTTTTAGCAGTGGAACAAATCAATCTAGCACAGCAGGCAGCTGACTGTGCATTTAATTCTCTTTAGCGATGACACTGAGGATATATGGCACTTGCCTAGGATGCTTATATGAAAGTTGAAGATATCTGATTTGATACATGACTGATACAAATACCGCTCTACAACAGAAACCATTGAAGGCTTGATAGTTTAGCACAGCTAAATGCATAAATAATTCTTTTCAGTATACCATTTATTAATTCAGTGAATTGTCCAAGGCCTTCTTTTATCAGAGGAATAAATATTGGTCTGCTTCTAGAGACAATTTCCTTATGACTAAAAAGACACTGTCCTCCTCCTCTTCCCAGTTTGGTACTACATCAGACTCAGTCTTTATCTTTGACTGACTATTCCTGTCATTTAGCATCATCTTCGTGGCTAAGGTTCATACCACACTCATCACCACCAACTGCCTTTTCTGTTACCTCTTGACTTGAAGTTACATAATTACAGATCAGAGTGGGTTCTGTTCATCATTCATCAGGGTTACTGATAAGAGTTTGTTATTCCTTCAAATGGTTAATTTTGTTTGTCTGCTACTAGAAGAAATCCTCAAGTTCATTTCCAAGGAAAGTATGTTAACCCCTGTCCTCTTTCAGAGAATTCTGAAATACTGGATTTTGTTTGAGATGCTAAGTGACTGCTATAGCCACACCACAAACTCTGCATGTCTGTATAGTTGTATTTAGTAATAGGAGTCCCCGGTGGCACAGTGGGTTAAAGCCCTGTGCCCGCAGGACTGAAGACTGACAGGTCGCAGGTTCGAATCCGGGGAGAGGCGGATGAGCTCCCTCTATTAGCTTCAGCTCCCCATGCGGGGACATGAGAGAAGCCTCCCACAAGGATGATAAAACATCAAAAATCATCCAGGTGTCCCCTGGGCAACATCCTTGCAGACGGCCAATTCTCTCACAACAGGAGCAGTTGCTCCTGACACGACAAAAAAAAATTACTAATATCCTTCCCATACTTTGAGAAGGAGATTGTTTTGCTGCCATGGATGTACATCATATATATTCACATTGCCATTCCTTGCAATCAAACAGGAGTTTTTTATTACTCCCTGGAGTGTTCCCCCTTTGGGTTAGTGACTACACCATAAAGGATAAACTTAACATATTCTCCAGGAAAAAGATTTTTGGCCTGATATTTGTCATCACATTTATTCTCTTTCAAGGCACCTGGACTTTGATTGTATCAAAACTAGGAAGTGCATGTGTGACAGAAAATAGATTTCAACTTGGTGTGTAAAGGTTTTAGAAATATGGAAATGAACACACTTTCCTGGGAAAGGCACCAAAGGTTAAAAGAGGGAGGCCACAACCACCTAAATTCCTGAACCATTTCTGTAAAACAAAACATTTATATTTTGTTCACATCCTACAGGACAGAATTTGGACAGCATGTTGCATGGAACAGGGATGAAAACAGATCCTGATCAAAAGAAGCAGGAAGACGGTGTAACTCTGGCTCCAGAGGACACCTTGCCTTTTTTACAATGCTACTGCTCAGGGCACTGTCCAGAAGATGCAGTTAATAACACATGCAAGTAAGTATGGCATGCAGACTCCCTCTAGGCAGTGAATGTAATCAAAGTTCTTGTAAGAGTAGAGGTTTCAAAATCTTTTCTTGGTCCTCCATTTCTCACTTCTTTTCTTCCTCCTCTTTTTAGTTCCTGTACATTTAAAATCAGGAAAAATTACTTTGGATTAGTTTGAAATTGTTCAAACCGTTTAATATGCATCTTAAAATTTGATTGCATGTGACCTTTTTACATAATGCACTTAATATAGTAAAGGAGATTTAATGTGATGAAATCTTAGATCTTAGAACACTGTGTTTTCTAAGATCTAAAATTTCTAAAATTTGAAAAAAAAATCAGTTCCTGATTTGAAAGTGTTATTCCTGTTTAATTGTGCGGTACCTACTTTGAAAGTAGTTGTTATACTCCAGAAACTTGGTTTTTGTGGCTGCCACAAACTATGTTGAATTAGTTGAGACTCGATGAAATCATGTATTGAAAAACTGTAGCAAAATGTGCTGCAGGATTTCCCTCAAACACAAGGTGTTTACAGTTTAATCAACTTTTTCCATGTTTTTATGATGGAGCCAATTAGGAAATGACATTTATAACCCAGGAACAAAAAACTGTGTTACATAGTGTAATGTGGCGTTTTATTGCCCTCTGGTGTTTATCTTTTGCAGTCTTCATTGTTGTGTAGCTGATAGATGTAAATTTACACTGTATTTCTTAATTCCTGGCTAAGGAGAATTTTTAAAATAGTATTTAATTTGGGTTCTGTTAAAAGGAGTTCCATTTAACTGATAAACTTTGGACAAGAAAGTGTTTCAGTTTGTGGAAAATAGGCAGTCAATTTTTCCAGAAATAGATATTTTCGCTAACTCATGACAAGTGCACCCATTATAAAAGAATGAATCTTGATAGAACCTTCATCATGAGCACAGATATTTGCGTGGAAACCATGGATGTAGGTCTTTTGGAGTGCCTAACATTTTCCTTACTATCAGACAAGTGTAACTATGTGTAATCCCCCATTCCTCTAGAGCAGGGGTTCTCAAACCTTTTCAGCCGCAAAGTTCTTTTTGAAGCAAAAGTTTCTCAAGGAACCCAAATAAATGTTTTTATATAATATATAAACATACTGTATAAACATTTTGACCAAGGTAAACTTAACGGCACTCCATGCAGTCATGCTGGTCACATGACCTTGGAGGTGTCTACGGACAATGCTGGCTCTTTGGCTTAGAAATGGAGATGAGCACCACACCCCAGAGTCGGACACGACTGGACTTAATGTTGGGGGAAAACATTTACCTTTACCTAAACTTAAAACAGTATTTTAATGGAAAATCCCAGGGACCATCCAGTCCAGCCCACTTCTGTGATGCAGGAAAAGCACAATCAAAGCACCCCCAACAGATGGCCACCCAGCTTTTGTAAGAAGAAGAAGAGGAGGAGGAAGAAGAAGAAGCAGGAGAAGGAGGAGGACAACAACAATAATAGGAGAAACCCCCAGGGCAATCCAGTCCAACCCCCTTCTGCCATGCAGGAAGAGCACAATCAAAGCACCCGTGAGCAGTGGGATGGAAATAGGGTTTTGGAAGCAAGGAAGGAAAGGGGAAAGGGATCTTGGTGGCAAGGGAGGTGATGAAAAAGGGATTTTGAGGGCAAAGAGGTTCAGGGAAAATGGCTTTGGTGGCAAGGGAGGCAGGAGGAGGAGTAAGAAAAGGAAAGGAAAGTTTGGAGGGAAAGGATGGAGGAGGAAGAAACCATGGAGCCCCTCAGAATGCTTTGAGAAGGCCTAAGGGCTCTATGGAGCACACTTTGAGAACCGCTGCTCTAGAGGCACAGTGGTATATGCTCTTCGATTGGAGGGAATAATACAAGATTGCATATTCTATTAAATATAGTTTGCTTGGTTTTATGTAAACACAGCAATGTATAGAAAGGTTGAAATCGGTTTATCTGTTCCAGAACAAATGGACATTGCTTTGCCATCATTGAAGAGGAAAATGGAGAAATTATACTGGCTTCTGGCTGCATGAAATATGAAGGTTCAGACTTCCAGTGCAAGGTATTTCTACTGTCTTAAGAGACCTGGGTGACTGGTTATTAAATTTAGATAATTAAATCTGCATGTCAAGTTTATTATGATACTGATGGGTACCATACTAATTAAACCCAGGGATGTTTAGCAATGTATAGCTTTACTATATATTGACCTAGATAAAGTCAGCAGGTCTGAACTACATTGTATTGAGTAAAATTCTCAAAATTGCTGGGTTGTTGTAGGTTTTTTCGGGCTATATGGCCATGCTCTAGAGGCATTCTCTCCTGACGTTTCGCCTGCATCTATGACAAGCATCCTCAGAGATTGTGAGGTCTCAAAATTGCTGTTCTAAAGAATGCATTGATTTGGAATGGGGGATATAGTGTGGGAATTGGTTTTGATTTAGTTTGAAACCCCGGTGGGAAATAATCCACTTTTAAGTCATTGAACTTTTTTCATTTTAAATTCTTAATTCCTATCTAATAAAGCAGCAATTTATTTAAAATGAAAATGCTGTGAACTCCAATGCCGTTGAATACAAGTCAACAAAAGCACCGTAACCAAAACAGTAGTTGAGATATTAATACTGCAAAGAAAAAAGCATTGCTTTACATTCATGTAGTTTCTCACAATTGAACTTCATTTCATAATAAGAATTTTAACCAACACCACTACCACCAACCAACAAAGACAAAATTTGGGAGTGATTTTTCTTTTTTTCTTTTTCTAACAGAGTTGATATTATTTCGTTCTGTAGAGTGTTTGGAAGTCTTCTCATACAGTTCAATAAGTATGCACATAGGTCAATCGTATTATCACCATATTATACATGAGAGGCTGACTGAGAGAGAGATGGAAGGAAAAATGTTTTGTTTATGACAGGGACGAAATTGTAGTACCCAGCCTTAGCCACTATATTATGCCAACTCTGTTGACTTGAGATTAGCAATAATCATAACTACTAATAGCAAATTGTTCTCCAAGTGCAAATAGTGGTGCAGGCAAAAGATAACCATCCATGTACAGGAGTCCTGGTTGACTATCAAAGTTAGCAGAAGTACAAAAAGGGCAAAGGAAAAACCTCAAATGCTTTACTGGGGATGCAGATAATGAGGAGTGAACCCAGTGGGGAATATCTATGCTCCATGAGTGTGGAATTCAGAACTTGCTGTCAGAACAGTAAATGAAAACCAAGGAGAGGTGAGATTATCCTGCCCAAAGGTGTGGCTACTAGAAACATGAAAAGAGTTTTACTCCAAATTGCAACGGTTTGCTGCAAGTCCCACTTGTGAACTTTCTGTATATTTTATCTAGTCTAATTGTATATGTAGGAAGGGGAAAATTTCTACTTCAGAATTGGCCCTTTCTTTTATCGCTGAGTGTAATTCAGAGACTGTGAAAAATGTGTTTGTGTCTGAAATTTCTTTTTACCGTACAGGACTCACCAAAAGCACAACTACGGAGGACAATTGAATGTTGTCGGACAGATTTCTGTAATCGAGATCTGCAGCCCACCTTGCCTCCCCCTTCTTCTTCCGGTACAGTGCTTGCCAGTATTCCCTCCACACAGTCATGGGCAGGGCTTTTGCACGTACCTTCAGATTCTTACATTTACTTCCCACAAGAACCTATAGTCTAAACCAGGCATGGGCAAACTTGGGCCCTCCATGTGGTTTGGACTTTAACTCCCAGAAATCCCAGCCAGCTTACCCGCTTTTAGGAATTGTGTGAGTTGAAATCCAAAACACACAGAGGTTTGCCCATGCCTGGTCTGAACTATGCTGAGTAACTATGGATCTGTATGATAACCTGCCCAACCACTTCTGATAGAACTTTTGAGCAGCCATAAATACAATACTGAGGATCTGTCATTATTATTATCAATTTAGTCTATTAGTCAGTTGGTTTTATAGGTGTGACAAGACCTCCCTCCTCCACCCTCATTTTTTAAACTGAAACAAACTAACATTATAGATCCTAACATTATCACAGCATTGAGTTGCTCATCCTTTCTCATCTTCTATACTATTAGCCATCTTCTGTTGCCAGTGCTTTCTGTGTTCTACCTAGGAAAAATAGAGCAGCCTCTACACAAGAAAGTGAATGGATACAAATCTGGTATTTGAGGGGACAGTGTACCCCAAAAGTAGTGTTAGGGTGCTCAGAACACATTATTATTTATGTATTTAATGGTTACATTGTCATGTACCTGACCAAAGACAATGTTCTCAGGAAAGTCGTAATTAAGTACAAACAAAATTTAAATCAGACTAAAATACCTTTCAAAAATATCACTCCCCAGTTTTAATGACTAAAGGTTGTTTGGTCCCTGGCAGAAGTTTTGAGATTTCAACTGGAGACTGAAAAAGAAGCAGAAATTCCAGACTACTAGCAGACATGAACAGAGATAATGCCTTCTTATCACACTACATACATCATCAGAAAAGGAAATTTATTACTTTCATACTTCAGAAATAATTAGCAGCCTTCTAGCCTCTATATTAGCTTGCAGATGAAATAATATTTATGCTAAACCAGTCCTTTACAGATTTATGGCTAGCCTAACAGTTGTCCTTTTCTGTATCCTATTTCACTTTGGTCCCACTCTCCCAACTATATAACTGGGCATTTATATTGGAGGCTTGGTCACAGTATTCCATCATAGTATCTGAAAAAAATGAATTGTAATCCAGGAAGATTCCCTGCTGACATCTTAAAGATGCCTCACACTTCCCCTCTTTTTTTTCTTAACGAAACAGACAAGCATGATTGTCAATTTTAAGACAAGATGCAAGATACAGGTGTTTCACCAGCTATATCTTGACATTTTGGCTTAATATTTTTCAGTTGTCATTATATTTAGTTAGAAGAATCAAAACCAAGCCGGGCAATAGAGGGTTGGTAATGGGCATTCTTGGATATTTTACAACAAAGTCATACTGTGCTTGATTTTTAAAAGTGGATTTTGAAGGCGTTTGAATAATATAGAACTGGAAAATCACTTCCTATCACTTGATAATCACAGAGTTAACAAAAATGTATCACAACTTCAGGGCTTGTTCATACTGCCAGCTTTCATACTTGAGAAATCAACCTGTAGCACTTCCACAAAGTCACTTAAAATGTATCCGTTGTACAGTGGCACAGAATTGAAAAGGGTGGGTTCTATTCATTTAATAATAATAATTCTTTGAGAAAAATTTGCCTTTAATTTGATTATGTTGTTGTGTGTTTTTATTTAGATGGTTTCTTTGATGGCAGTATACATTGGAGAGTTGTGCTTGTTTCTATGGCAGTCTGTATAATAATTTTGATTGTCTTATTTTGCTGCTACAGGTAAAATATCTTTCTGATTTTTCTATGCTTTTACTTCATAAAATGCTTAAGTTAAGTTAAGGCTTGCCGGAATCTCATATGATGTGATTTGCATCTCTAGGAAAATTGTCATCTATATGAAAGTGCTGTGTTATCTATTTTGTGAACGTATATATTATGTAATACAGATGCACATTGTGTCTTCCTGTTAGTCCCAACTAAAGTAGACCCATTGGAATTCATCTGCATGTTGCCTCATCTTTAGATAATTAATAGAGGAGCGCTTCCTGTGATATGTGTTCACATTTATATATGTGCTGACCTGGCTGAACATGTAGATCCCAGATTATCAAGGCAGAAAATCCCACATTATTTGCTTTGAACTGGAATATATGGCAGTGTGGACTCTGATAACCCAGTTCAAAGCAGATGTTATGGGATTTTCTGCTTTGATATTCTGGGATATAGGGCTGTATGGAAGGGCCCTGAGTTTTGTGTAAAATACGTTCCTGTTATGCAAAATGTAATAAAATGTAAAAGTTAATGTGCTTATGAAACAAATGATCTACTCCGTTCCAGGCATTATTGTAAATGGGCAGCAAAAAGACAGTGTTACAATCGTGATCTGGAACAGGATGAAGCCTTTATTCCTGTTGGGGAGTCTCTGAAAGATCTTATTGACCAATCACAGAGTTCTGGCAGTGGTTCAGGACTTCCACTTTTGGTAAGACAGTTTGTGAAAAACAATTCATCAGTTAAAAGGGTTGTTTTTATTTTACACAGTGTACTAGTTAACTATACACCCGATGACCGCTCACACAAAGTAATTTTTAGTATACCCAAAAGGGTTAATTGGAGCTTTCCAGAGGTTGTCCCACTGAAACTCCCAGCATCCCTCACACTTGACTTAGGCTTAAGGAGTTGGCAATGCCAAGAAGTTGTCTACTCCTGAAATATATACACAAACACAGGAGGAAAGTAGTCAGAGCAGTGCAGGAGGTAGGGGAGAGACTGAGAATTGTTTGGTTTTCATTAAATTTGTGAGATTTAAACAGATGCCTATCTACCAGAATGTTCAAGTTAATATGAAGGCCAGTGCCATCTTTTAGGAGGGAATACCTTTATAGTGTTTTTACTAGGGGAGGGAGAGGTGAGGAATAGTTTTCTTAGTCAGAGATGGAGATAAGATTCTCACTTCAAATTATGGATATCCAGTGAAAGGGGGCTTTCCAGAATTGCCAAATCTGCCTCTGAGCTCTTCCTTAAATAAGTAAGACAGAGCAAATAGGATAGGGGCAAACTTGCATTAGCTAGAACAATTGGCAGATGGAAAAGAAAGAGGAAAATATGAATGTTTTATCACTTGGCCTATTCTTTTTATTAATTCTTAAGCAGGTTTCCTAGACTTGGACATATAAAGTCCTTAGATGTTGAAAAATGAGAATTATGAATTAGACAATCTAAAGTTATGTAAGTTTCATGTAAGATCTTGCTAATATGTTTCTTGCTTGTGTTGTTCCCAACACATATATGTTTGAAGTATTTGGATTCATCCACTTCCCTTCCAACATAATAAATTCCATTAAATTTATATGGCTAACATATAGTCTGTTAGTCCAATTGATTTAAAGTGATGACATTTGTTCTTAAATTTAAATGCAAAAAAGAAAAGTTCTTTCTGTCTAATTGTTTGAGTTTTGGAGAACAATTGTAGAGATATTATTATATAATGTGCAATTTTAAACTATTAATATTATTAGGATTGCTTTAGTAATTTCAGATTGTATCTACAGGTCCAACGGACTATTGCTAAACAGATTCAGATGGTACGACAAGTTGGAAAAGGTCGATATGGTGAAGTCTGGATGGGTAAATGGCGAGGTGAAAAAGTGGCAGTGAAAGTGTTTTTCACCACCGAAGAAGCCAGCTGGTTTCGAGAAACTGAGATTTACCAGACAGTTCTCATGCGTCATGAGAATATACTCGGTATGTAAAAAAGATAATCTTTGAATGGGGATGTGGTATCTGAAGATAGTTTCCTCAAGGCTTGCTAGTTAATGAAAAGCAAAAATCATTCAAAATCTAAAAGGGAATATGATATGATTTGCATTGTGATTGTATTAATATATTACAAGCAGTCCCCAAGTTACAAAAATCCAATTTATAAACAACTCATAGTTAAGAACAGGGGTGAGAGAATAGGAAGTGAGAGAGATACACCCCTCAGAAGGGAAATTCAGTCCTGAAAAGAAGTCCAAAGAAAAAAGGTGTCTCAACTGAAGCTTTATCACCAATCCTTATTTCCACAACAAGCCAAATTTTTCTAGGTGTGAGGTAGATAGGCATGTACACATCAAAAATATTGTTACCTGATTATATCTGCCACGATTTGCTTTTCTGTTATGTACCATAACCAAAATAAACAGTTTTATTAAAAAACAAGCAAAATTTTTCAAAATCCAATTATCACAGGGACAGAAAGCTAGGTGAAATCTTCTAAACTTGGCACAGTCAGCAAAAAATGCACCACCAAAGCTAATATATATAAACCATATTTACTCAAATGTAATGTGCATCCTTTTGGGCTAAATTTCATGTAATTTCATGTTCGTTTTGTCTCTTTAAAGGCCACAGTGACTACACTTAGAATAGTTGTTCCTAGACTGCAGCTCCCAGAGTTCCACACTATTGGCTACATTGGCTGGGATTGCCAAGAATTCCATCCAAAAACGTTTTGATGTCTCTGTCCTGAGTTAGAAGGAATCTACCACAGTTCCCTGTTTTGCTTTATTTTCATTTTTAGTTTTTGTTGAATTTTGGGAAATAGACAATGCTAATTCTGTTTCTGAATTCCCACAGGCTTTATAGCAGCAGATATTAAAGGCACAGGCTCCTGGACCCATCTATACTTGATTACAGATTATCATGAAAATGGATCATTGTACGACTACCTAAAGTGTACCACTTTGGACACCAGATCTCTACTCAAACTGGCTTATTCTGCCGCATGCGGTCTTTGCCATTTACACACAGAGATATATGGCACACAAGGCAAGCCTGCTATTGCCCACAGAGACCTGAAGAGTAAAAATATCTTGATAAAGAGAAATGGGACCTGCTGTATTGCTGACTTGGGTCTAGCTGTCAAATTTAACAGGTATATGATCTCATCTTGTCTGGCGATACAAAATCCAGTGTTCACATATTCGTGGGATAAGTATTGTGCTCAGATCTGGAAAATGAATTCCTCATTTCGTTGGTTCACAACAAAAGAACAGAAATGTTGTTTAAAATTAATGTCCCTGACAAAGTAAACATTTTCTTTGCTGAATGTACTTTGGAAAGAATAAATGAGACTAATATATCTTCCAAATGTTCTTGAACAAGAGATAGAGGACTGTCACACATTTAAAAAAAGTTTCTTTATTTTCAAATAAGCGAAGGACAAATGTTGCAGTTCAGTATTTTGATCTTTGTCCAATTAAAATATTTTAATTGCAACGAAGACACCCTTTAGGTCCTTCAGAACATGTAATATTTTTTAAACTGAACTAGATTGAACTTTATAAATGGCATAGTGACTCCCTTATTTAGTCTGATGAATGGCTGTACAAACAATTTGCCAGCACAAGGTTCTTAAAACTGTTATTTATTATAGATCTGTTTGATGTTGTGCTGATTTTTATTTTATAATTGAGGAAAAGATTGTAATATTGGTGTCTTAACTGCTTCTTTATACGTCCTATTTTATGTTGCTTCAACAACATGATTTTTATGTTACCATAGTGATACAAATGAAGTTGATGTCCCTTTGAATACAAGAGTGGGAACAAAGCGTTACATGGCACCAGAGGTCCTAGATGAAACTCTGAATAAAAACCATTTCCAGCCATACATCATGGCTGACATCTATAGCTTTGGCTTGATACTTTGGGAAATGGCTCGGCGTTGTGTCACAGGAGGTAAGACAAACACATGCCTAAAATGTATGAGGTATCATGTATGCAGTGTGTGTATTTTAGCCAGTTCACTTGGCATGCTGGAAGAAAGACTAAAGAGTTCACATATTCAGACTGCATCTTTTTCTTCAGTTCTATATCTGTTTCCTTAGTTTGTACAACTTTTTATGATGGACTAAGTTGATAAATTGTTAACTGCACTAGTTGGGTAATGTATGATGTATCATATATACTTTTGTATGTGACAACCTCATGTATAAGTCTAGGTCAGGTTTTGGGGCCAGAATTATAGATGTTGATATAATCTGTGGATAAGGTGAGAGCTATTCCACAGAGAGGGGAAAGCACCAGCGTTGCCTCAGGGGGGCAGCAATGTTCATGTTTTCTTTCCATTTCTTCTCTTTTATTTTTTAAAATCTTTTTGTTATATATGTTTCAGCCCCTCTATATGGTGTGCTGAGTTCCTTGTGAAAGTAAAGAACAATGCAGTAGGAAAATGGGGGGCATCTAAGGCTAGCAGGGACCTGAGTAAGAAGAAGGTTTAGTGTTAGTCCTGTCAAGACCTCAAAGTGCATGTCCTTCTAGTTTTCATAGCAGAATTAAATTTCTTCCACTTTTAGGAATCGTTGAAGACTATCAACTCCCCTACTATGATATGGTGCCAAATGATCCTTCATATGAAGATATGAGGGAGGTGGTGTGTGTTAAGCACCTGCGCCCAGTAGTATCGAATAGATGGAACAGTGATGAGGTAAGCCTCTTTGATGAAATTAAATCTGATAGAAAATTCTTGTTTCCAATTATGGGAAGAAATGTTAACCTCATCTGTGAAGCCTTCATGGTTCCACGTGACCCTCCATCTTTGGCCTAATCGGCACATTGTGCTTTTCCCCTCTGCTTGTCACTTAAATCCTAACCAAAATAATAATTTAATACAAGTCAGACAATTCTGTGAAAAAGTTCCAAACATGAATTGTGTGAATTTTGAAAATCAGTAGCCTAAAAATATTAATTATTTCTAGTTTGCATAATCCTAGTTACAGAATTAGATATGGTTTTAGGTTTTGGGATTGACTGATAATGAGATTTGCTAGGGAACCAGTATATTGTTGTGGTTTGAGGGCTGGGCTGAAGATCAAAGTTCAAAACTCTGCCTAGCCATGGAAACTCATTGGTTGAACTTGGGCAAGTCACATGATGCCAACCTCAGAAGAAGGCAAAGGCAAATCACCTTTGAACAAATCTTGCTAGGAAAACCCTGTCACCAATAATATTACTACTACTACTAATAATAATAATAATAATAATAAACAGTTCCTGGCAAAAATTGAGAACAAAATTAACAAGAAAAAACATGGATGTGACTCACAAATGGAACTTTGAAAAAGGAGACAGAGGGACTGATTCTTGCAGCCCAAGAACAAACTATTAGAACTAATGCCATCAAAGCTAGAATTGAAAAATCGACAACAGATTCCAAATGTAGACTTCACAAGGAAGCAGATGAAATGATGGATCACATACTCAGCTGCTGCAAGAAGATCATGCAGACAGACTATAAGCAGAGCTCAGATAATTCATTGGAACTTGTGCGAGAAATACCATCTGTCTGGGACAAAGAACTGGTGGGATCACAAACCTGAAAAGGTTATGGAAAATGAACACATCAAACTACTGTAGGACTTCCTAATTCAGTTTTGGAGCCCAATATTCCTGACCTCACGTTGGTGGGGGGGGGGGGGGGGGGAAAAGTATGGATTGCCGATGTTGGAATCCCAGGTGACATCAGATTTGACGAGAAGCAATTGGAAAAGCTTACACGATACGAAGATTTAAAGACTGAACTGCAAAGATTCTGGCACAAGCCAGGAAAGGTGGTCCCAGTGGTGATCGGCACAGTGGGTGCAGTGCCTAAAACCCTTGGCCGGCACTTAAAAACAACTGGCACTGACAAAATTACTATCTGTCAGCTGCAAAAAGCCACCCTACACAGATCTGCACACATTATTTGACGATACATCACGCAGTCCTAGACACTTGGGAAGTGCCCGGCGTATGATCAAATACAAAAGCCAGCATAAACAATCTTGTTTGCTGTGTACTAATCTTGTTATGTATCTAATAGTAATAATAATAGTAGTAATAATAATAACTTTATTTATAACCTGCCCTATCTCCCCAAGGGGAATCAGAAACTATTTGAAGGCACGCAACAAGAAATTGAGATTTCAAGTCATTCTCAGCCGTCATTAAAGTTAATTTGAAGGACATTTTTTTCTTTACCACACTGCTTACCCAGTTCAAAATTCTTCAATCAATTACTTGGATCTATAGCCAAGAATGGAAAATAGTTTATACGCAGTTATATGTTGTATCGTATAATTTTTCATCTTTACAATATTTCAGCATTTTAATTGATGCCATTTTACACTGCCTTCAGGCCTGTTGATATAAGTAGGGATATTATTACCATTATTATTTTACTGACACAAAACCACAGTATGTCACAGCAAACAAGATCTATATGCTGGATTTCGTATCACAACATCACAAGTTGAACACTTCCTAAGCATCTAGGACTGTGTGATGTATTTTCAAATGCTGCACGCAGATCCAAGTAAGGTGGCCTTTTGCAGTTGACAGATCGTGATTTTGTTGATGTTTAGTTTTCAAATGCTGGCTGAGATCTTTTGGCACAGCACCTAGTGCGCCAATGACCACTGGGACCACCTGTACTGGTTTATGCTAGAGCCTTTGCAGTTCGATTTTGAGGTCTTGATAGCAGCTGAATTTTTCCTGTTGTTTTTCCTCAATGCGACTGTCACCTGGTATGGCGACATCAATAATCCAGACTTTTTTCTTTTCCACAATCGTGATGTCTAGTGTATTGTGTTCCAAAACTTTGTCAGTCTGGATTCGAAAGCCCCACAATATTTTTTCATGTTCATTTTCCACGACCTTTGCGGGTTTATGATCCCACCAATTCTTTACTGCTGGCAGGTGGTACTTGTAACACTATTATTATTATTATTATTATTATTATTTTATTACCCGCCTCCTTATGGCATAACATGGTTAAAATACATCCATAAAAGCACATATGGAAACATACTCATATTAAAATGCATGAAACAAAAGTTAAAACACAGTAAACATAAAATGTGAAAGTCATAGACAGGTTAGGCCTGCCAGAAGATCTTGGCCTTCAGTTGTGTTTTAAATTCCAACATCTCATTTAACTGTCAGAGCTCTTCTGGAAGATCATTCCACAGTCTTGGAGCGGCCGATTAAAAGGTCCTCTAGGTGACAGTCACCAGTCAAGTTCTGGCTGGTTGGAGTAAGCATCTACCAGAGGACCTCATATGTTAAGCATAATCAACCCTGTGTATTTTATTAGTACTTAACTATAAAAGCTGCATGTTTTTCTCATTCGTATTGTATTTTTTACACAACAATTTCTTTGTGATTCCTTTTTCAGTGCTTAAGAGCAATATTGAAATTAATGTGTGAATGCTGGGCCCACAATCCTGCCTCCAGACTTACTGCGTTGAGGATTAAGAAGACCCTTGGCAAGATGGTAGAATCACAAGATGTTAAAATTTGACAAAGAAAGGTCACTGAAGAGTGAGCTTTGGACTCCTAGAGCTGTTCACTCAAGCAGATATGTAGGTCTGGTGGAACGGAATGGAGTGGAGTAGCAGCTGAGTTTTAGCCCACTTCCTCGCCACTTTTACAGGCTGCTAATATTAAGTCTTTCAGTACTTTGTAAGATATGGTATCTGTGTACACTATAATGGTACACATGTTGATAGCCTCATTTTACTTCTTGATTTGAGCTGCATTGAGATTTTAATCATACTTTCAAACACTTCTGGAGTGCCGAATTGCATATTCAAATTATAATGCTTTCTGTGAAAGCCTTAAGTTAAAGAAATGCAACTGCAGTGGAGAAAAATAAGCTTTTTTGCCTTCTACCTGATGATACCTTACCAAGTCTTGATGGAGTAGCCTATGGTTATGAGCCTGGGGTATTGCATAATTGAAAATCCCTCATACCCTTCATGGTTTTGTGTGTTGTGTGTGTGCGTGTTTACACATGCGCCAAAATTGTTCTCCTGCCATTGGGAATACTAAAGAAGCCATTTAATTTTTGTGCAAAGCTGTCATTTGATTCTGTAATGCCTTGGCCCTGAAGACTGTTTTCAAAGAAAATTTTCAAAGAACATTGAGTTCTTATGTTCTTTTATGCTGTGTGGAGGAAATGTATGTTTCATGACCAAATTCCAAAACTTCTTCTGTAAGCCTATGCAGTAGGTCACCTTCAAGTCTGTGAAGAAGAGGTGATAACATACACCCTATGAACTTCCGAAGACTGAGCACACAACATGGAACAACTGAACTTCTTTGATAATTTAAGTGCCTGTAATCTTGTACTGTAAACTGTATCTTAGCTAGCTTTAAAAAGGGAAGTTATTTATATAGTGTTTAATGTACTTTTAATTGCTACGTACCTGCTCTTTTGTAAATGTGTAAACATACGATACCAGATCTGAAAAGAACCTAAGAAGTAGTTTTGTTGACATTGGATGAGATACACACTTGCTGAATGTGACATGCAAAATTGTTGGATAGTCTGTCAAAGTATGTGCATGGATACTACAGAGATATTTAAATTTTCCATTTACAGGCCTTCAGTAAGAAATGTAATCCAATAGTAGTGCGACTTGAAACAACAATCAGATGTGTGGGTCTAGTTTTTAAGAAAATGTTCTATAGGTTGCAAATGGTAAATGGTCAGGCAATATATTACAGTATTTGTTTTTAATTTATATCGGTGTACAAATTTTATTTAACGTTTCCTTAAGTCATTGCTTTTTCAGTGATGCCTTTTAAGTATTAATACATCTCCAGCCGAAACGTTCATGAGTGCATAAGCTATGGTTTAATTTATTTTGGTGGAGAATATTGTGCCACAGATCATGTTAAAAGTTTTTCATTTATCCGTCCATTGCTAGGAAGTTGATCAGGCTGATTATATGTATGAGACCTATCTCTTACTTTGCTTTGCACAGGTTATTGGTAAAGATTTGACTAAATCACCAAATTATGGCTTTGAACCATTAGCTTCCTCCTTTGTGCTTTCGCAGCCTCTTTTTCCACCATTTGCCAGCATTCATGTCAACGTTTTGAAGTTGATTACGGACCCCTTACGTGCCGTAAAGTATTTTAAACAGAATGTTTTAAAATGCACTCAGACCTGATGGAGCACAAGCCAGACGTGTTTTGCCTCACTGTTACTCTTCAAGGCTGAGTACATAGCCAAAAACACTACTCAGTTCATGGATCTGTGCAGCTCCATGGTGACTTTCCAGGAAGGAAAGAAACAGTTGTAATCAATAGACATAAACATATTGCTGGTCCCTGGCACATTTAGGAAAAAATCCTGCTGGTCCCCTGCGTCAGATAATGTAAGAATCACTGCACTAGGACACACTTCATTCCCTAGTATGACTCAGTATTTCCAGGCAAAAGCAGTAAAGGTGAAGCATTCTCCTGGGACTGTCTCCATTTACTGGTGGTCTTGAAAAACCTACCATTATGAGCTCATAAAGAAGCTTGGTTTCTTGAATTAAGACGGTAGTATGGAGGCTAAGAACTTTTCATTTTCACCTATTTGTATGAGTTTTCAGAGACATTTTGGTGGAATATTTTCCCCATCTTCTAAAATAAAATACAGTGCCTGTGTTCTTTTTTTAAAGAGCCTTGTAGGTTGTGTGGTTTTACAAGTAAATTCATTATGTGCTGAAACTTTTTTTAAGTGTTGGATTGAGACTTCAGAATAAAATGTACCTGGTTACCAATACTGTATCAGAGCCATTAGCCATAGAGTCCATAGACATTGCACTTTCTACCATGCCGACAATCTATTGCATGTATTGTCGAAGGCTTTCATGGCCGGAATCACTGGGTTGTTGTAGGTTTGTTCGGGCTATATGGCCATGGTCTAGAGGTATTCTCTCCTGACATTTCGCCTGCATCTATGGCAATCTATTGCATCTCCTCAGTATTTTCTTGGGGCACTTTAATATACAGTATAGTGAGTGGCTCGTATTTCAGAATGCACTGCATTCTGTATAAAGGCAACCCATCTCTGGCAGTTTTTTTCTTTACTGGAGGCACCAGATTCTTCAACTCTATCCTTATAGAGAACGTGAATACTGTCTAGCAAGAGTCTTTCTCACTCTTGCTGCTAAATTGTTGCCCCTGGTTTCATCGTGGCAATAAGAGTCAAAATTCATTTACTAAAGTTGAGCTGTATATTCCCTCTTTCATTATGAATATTAATTCCAATCCTCCCCTCTTCCCACATTTTTTGCATGCTGCTCTGGCCAAGGAATTGTGGAGAAAAGGCTTTATTCTGTATAATTCGTGCTACTAATCTTTCAGGGTTCCGTTTGTCATATCTCACACTTCCCTTTTAGTTTCTTAGGCCCATTTATGAATACAAGCAACTTATATGCCTTTTCTGGAGTAGGTAATAAAACACCCCTATAGATTACTCAGATCTTACTAGCAATAGAGTAAGAAATTAAAATGTTGCATTCTTTTGCAGGTAATATAGAAAACTATTTTACCATGTATCTGCACCTGATGTGGGGTACACTTATAACTTGATATAGATATGGTACAGATGGACAAGCTGCAAAGTAAAGCTGTTGTGTCACTTTATTTCACCGTCTCTGCCAAATCCTCATAAAGCATGGAGGAACATGGAGACAGATCATGAATTGGAAGCAAACCTTATAAATCAAAGGTGTAGTTATCCAGAGACATTTTGAACCAGAGAAACAATTGCAATTAAATAGTAAAACATGAAATGTGGCAAAATGGAATTATCCAATTTTCAACATATTTTCCATGTTTTTTCCCCATCAAATTGCCTTATTTTTAAAACCCACAAAATTCTGGTCTCATTTTTTTCCTCAGATTGTGTGACTTTATGTACAAATGAATCATTTTTATCATATTGCCTTTGAGACATGTGTCCCACTTTTTTAGAAGGCTATACTTCCTAATGTCTTCCATTGTGTACTGCACAGAGTGTTTCATGAACTGCAAACTTGTGCCTTGAAGTTATGCTTTTAACAAAACCTTTCATCTTAAAAAAGAGTTTGTATCTTGAAGCTTTGAGATTAATGAAAGTTAAATGAATATGTTTCTGTGGTAACCTTATTTGTTCTGGGGTACAGTTGTCAAATGTATCTTTTTTGTGTGAGGGACCTTTCCAATTTCCAAAGATGTACCACATTTGCAAGGCTGAAAGAAGCAGGTGAAACTACACTTTACACAAAGATAACTTGGTCAGTGGAATTACAGATTGGTAGGTCTGATGGTAGTTTGCTCAGTTGTCCCATATATCAGTGGTGGGGTTACACAATTGATTCAAATACTAAATGTATTTTAGAATAATCAATACAGATTTTTTTTCTTTGCAGTCCTCCTTGCTTATCCTGAACTGTTCCTAAAACTCAAGCCAAGTTCTTGCATCATTAGAGCTGAGGTGATGGTGCTCCATTACTGTATTATTTTGCTGGTGCCACACACTTAAAGGCCTGCCTCTTAAGCCAGGCAGTGTCCCAAACAAAGATTCACCAGGATGATGGGAAATGGTGGTTTCAACAGTCTCCTGGTTTCAGGGCATGCTGAGACAGGCAGCTGGAAAGATCCCTTGGGGTCCTGCCACAGCTATAGGTCTCAGCGCACCTCATGACTGGGAAAGCACTGCAATTCCAACATCCCAATGTGCATTACCTGAGAATCCCTCCAGGTAGGATATTGCCTGGCTGAAGAGGTACAATTGTGAGGTCATTAATGACCAGGAATGAATGACAAAAACTGAATACCCAGAATTACAAAATTCTAAATCTAGTTTACAGTCTCATAAATATCGAGTGCAATGTCAACTTCAATGTAGCAATCAAATTTCTAATTAAACTGAATTATCTCTATTGTGCAAGGTTAGCCATTGTCATGTTGACTAACCTACAAATCAGCTGCCAAGAATTAGAGATGTGCATATTTGTTTTTACTTTTTGCTTATTTGTTTTTAGTATGCTACAATTTCAAGCTATGCAAAAGGAGTTTTGATCTTACTTATGCCATAAAAAATCAACATAATAGATTCACGTGCCATGGAAAACCTCTATAAATTTCCGAGTAGTGGGTTTTACCTGCTTCTTTGTGTTACAAGTATTAGCTTCATTGTGAACCCATTCCATACAGATTTGCTTGCCATTTCTCTTTGGTAAATGCTTTTTTGGGACTCTCTTCTCCAGTCAGGCCAAGCTCTAAACCTATATATTGATTAGTCCATCATGCTTCCAAATACATTGATAGGAAACCTATTTCTTCCTGCATTCATGAGTAAACAAAGTGAAAGAAAAAGTAGAGATTCTAAGTCCGTGGGTTGTTGTAGGTTTTTCCGGGCTATATGGCCATGTTCTAGAGGCATTTTCTCCTGACGTTTCGCTGCATCTGTGGCAAGCATCCTCAGAGGTAGTGAGGTCTGTTGGAAGTAGTAAAATGGGTTTATATATCTGTGGAATGACCAGGGTGGGACAAAGGATTTTTGTCTGCTGGAGCTAGGTGATTCTAAGTCCCTTTGCTATATCATTCTCTCTAATATGTTTTACCCACTATGTGCAAATTAAGTATCCCATCTTTTGCCCGATTGACTAAGAGAGGAATCTCAATTTGAATTGTGTTCAACAAAATATTAGTTTGATTTTTTTCTAGTCTGCAACAGTAATTAATAGTAACAATAGCCCAGGGGCATAATGTATCTTTTCAGAACTCACTGTAGCAGAATGGACAAACTCATTAAAAAGTATAGGAGCTAGTCATAAGTAACCTCAGCAAAAAGAATGGAAAGTTATCTTGATAGCCGTGTTCCTAAGCAACCCTTACTCATTTCAAGCTTGCCTCAAGTTTCCTACCATGTTTCCAAAACTATCAGTTTCTATAAAATATGAAATGAACGATACTTTTCACCAAAGCCATCTCACCGAATAAGTTGCCTTGTCCTATAGTACCTCTAAATGCAATGTAGAAGTCCACAAATTGTATCATGTTCTGTGCTCTGACCTACCTGTGCTCAATATAAAATGTACAATATTGTATACAGAGAGAATGATGTAGCTGACCTATAGAAAATGTAAATAAAAAAGAGAGGGTGATGAAATGAGCAGAATGATTATACTCTTTTTGTTACATATGCCAGAAGTGTAGAATGTTTTAAAATGCAACAGACTAAATGTCTTTTTGTACAGTATCTGATTTAAAACGTGCCTTAAGTTTACCATGAATTGCTTTGTTCTGTACACAACTTTATGTCAATGTATCATTTTTAAGTAAATAACCTTATTTTAGTAAACATCAGTAATATATTTGTTTTCATATTTGTCCTGAAAGCATCTACAGTCATAGCATTATGTTTTGTGTTTAAAATTGTTGAAAATAGTATCAGGTACAAAAGAAGATTCCAGGCTCATCCATTACAAAAGATGCAAACCATATTTGTAAAAACACACACACTTTTTTTACAATGTGCCTAAACAGTCCACTTGTCAGTCTCACGTGACCTCTAGGTCTTCTTAAATATGGATGTCTAATGGCTTTTTAATTTGAACTTGGCTATGGAGAGGAGAGCATCATGTGAGAAGAAAATCTTTTCCCAGTTATGCATCCTGGTGGTGAGATATGCATAGAAACAGAGTTGGAAGAGATCTCGTGGGCCATCCAGTCCAACCCCCTGCCAAGAAGCAGGAAAATTGCATTCAAAGCACCTCTGACAGATGGCCATCCAGCCTCTGTTTAAAAGCTTCTGAAGAAACAGCCTCCACCACACTCCGGGGCAGAGACTTCCACAGCCAAACAGCTCTCACAGTCAGGAAGTTCTTCCTAATGTTCAAATGGAATCTCCTTTCTTGTAGTTAGAAGACATTGTTCTCCAGGGCAGCAGAAAACAAGCTTGTTCCCACCTCCCTATGATTTCCTCTCACGTATTTATGCATGGCTGTCATGTCTCCTCTTAGTCTTCTCTTCTTCAGGCTAAACATTCTCAGCTCTTTAAGCCGCTCCTCACAGGACTTGTTCTCCAGACCCGTGATCATTTTAGTTGCCCTCCTCTGGACACATTCCAGCTTGTCAACATCTCCCTTCAGTTGTGGTGCCCAGAATTGGTATTGGTATAGGTAACTAGGTATGCAGTGTTCCATCACTACTTTGTGGTTTGCTTATTGCGGACTCGCTGTTTCACGGGGAGCAGTGAGGGAAAACTGTATAGCTGCACCCCATTCCTTCCTCGCCAGCCTGGCAAGGAAGGGGCCTCTGAGGCGGGGAGCAGCTGAGGCGTCAAGGAGGAGGGCCTTGGCGGTGGTGTCCTCTTCCCTCTGCTGCTTCTCAATCCTTCCTCACCACGCTGGCCATCAGGCATGGGCACCCAGCCTGGTGAGGAAGGGGCCTCCGAGGTGGGGAACAGCAGAGGTGGCAAGGAGGAGGCCACCACGAAGTAGGGATATTCCACCCACTCAAACGGGCAGAGCATCCCTTCTTTAAAGGCCAGTTTACATTCCTCGTTGCATATTGGGATAGAAACCCTTTATGGCAGATATTCCATCAGGTGCGTAATATCATTTTTTGCAGACTGATGGTATAGTAAATTACTGTAAAATTGAATAACTGTGAGGTATTTATGTATTTATTATTTATTTAAAACACTTATATTCCACCCTTCTCACCCCGAAGGGGACTCAGAGCGGAGCACAACATATACATGGCAAACATTCAATGCCTGGGTACAATACATAAACATTAAAAAACATTTATCTAAATATTAAAATACACCATTTAAAATAACACAATTTAAAACCGTCCTAGCCATCCGCATCAAATCCAATTGGCCCTGTCATCTTTCCCATTGTCGCTTCATTGCCCTGTCCCGAAAGCTTGGTCCCACAGCCAAGTTTTTACCATCCTTCTAAAGGATAAGAGGGAGGGGGCCGACCTGATCACACAAGGAAGGGAGTTCCATAGGTGGGGAGCAATCACCGAGAAGGCCCTGTCTCTCCCCACAAATCGCGCCTGTGACAATGGCGGGACGGAAAGCAGGGCCTCCCCGGAGGATCTTAATCTCCACGGTGGTACATAGAGGGAGATGCATTTGGACAGGTAATTTGGGCCGGGGCCGTTTAGGGCTTTATAGGCCAAAGCCAGCACTTTGAATTGTGCCCGGTAGCAAACTGGCAGCCAGTGGAGCTGCCGTAACATGGGAGTTGTATGCTCCCTGTATGCCGCCCCAGTTATTAACCTGGCTGCCTCTCGTTGGACTATTTGAAGCTTCCGAGCAGTCTTCAAAGGCAACCCCACGTAGAGTAGAAAGGAAGATCCTATTTTTTAACCCAAGGTAGGAAGGTAGAATTCAGTTTACACTTTGCAGGCATAGTGTCAAATGTCAGCCAGTGTGTACAGACCACTGTGATTTGCTATTTCACATGTAAATAGAAGACCACTGAATCAGAGGAACCCAAATAATACATATAAGTCTTAAGTAGCTTTTATAAAAACTGAAACTAAAATAGTTTAATTTTACAACGCACATGTTGATTATTTCAAAATGCATAACTACGGGACCTACACTTTAATTTAATCCAATGTTGGAGTTATTGAATCTGGTCTAGTGAGCCAACCGTTCAAAATATATTTTTCAACTATGTACAGTTTTAAGTACAATAACATTTTATGACCCTAGTGCTTGAGTGAAATATTAAAATTTGTAAAGCAAACTACAACCTAGAGTAGAAAAAAAGGTACTTATCGAGGATATACAGAAACAGTCTGATCCTATATATCAGGGGTCCTCAAACTTTTTAAACAGAGGGCCAGGTCACAATCCCGCAAATTGTTGGAGGGCCGGATTATAATTTGGAAAAAAAAAACATGAATTCCTATGCACACTGCACATAGCTTATTTGTAATACCAAAAAACACTTTAAAAATACAATAATTAAAACGAACAATTTTAACAAATAGAAACTTATTAGAATTTCAATGGGAAGTGTGGGCTTGCTTTTGGCTGATGAAATTGGATTGTTGTGTGCTTTCAAGAGGTTCTAGACTTAGGTTGACCCTGAGCGAGGGCCAAGTAAATGACCTTGG